AGAGTCATTAATATCTCATATAACCTCTTTGAGTACAAGGAATCGATGTCTGAAGACTTAGTAAAACATTTAAAAATTTTGAAGTTTAAAGAAAACTTACCAGTAGAAGTAGTCCTTATTCTACCAGTAGAAATGGTCTATTGGAATTCTTCTACCGGTAAGAACAGTGATATTCTACCGTAGGAGAATCCTACTAGAAAAGTCCTACCAGCTAAATCTATAGGTAGAAGCTACCTACTGGACCACATCTACCAGTAGAAGAACCAAACGTTCTACAAGTAGGTGTGCCCAGATTTGCCCGTTTTCAATTTCAATCCATTCCAACTCATCTCATATCAATCTGAACACGTATATCATGAAACCTTACATTTAACATAGTCCATTTGAATTCGATAACGATCAATTGCATATGATTACATGCCAAAACGAAATAACATAAAAGTTTTTATAAAATATGTTTCAAACGCAACATTTCAGCTTTTCTTCAACTATAAGGGCCGATTGAGAGTCGTCCACTGGCGCATATTCTGCACCTGAAATATTGTCCCCATAAAGGGTGAGTCACGCTCAATAGGGTATCTACTAAAGATGTTACTTCTCAACCTAAGTGCATATGAAATGTTCACATACAATATTCAACAAGCAACTACCATTCCAATTAAGAATATGCAATTCAATGTTGGAAATCACCATGTCATGCCATAAAATGAGATGAGACTCACTCATGCACTTCAACCTGAGCCTTCACCGGCTCTCTCAACACATGTAAATGCCATGTGTATAATCTCCGGGCATTCCAAGCCCCATCATTGATGTTACACATCCAATGACTATTTAAAATCTCTAGGTCTTTCTTGGGGTGGGTATTCATGGACTTTCATCAACAGTCACCCAACCGAAACGACATCTATGGACTTCCACCAACGACTTCGCGCACACTGATACATTTTATGGACTCGATATCAACGGAGTGCGTATCCGAAGTAACGGGGTCTTGTACCCGAGGGATTGTCTAACCCTTCTTGCTAACCCCGACCTAATTTTCAATGCAAACCATGCGACTCAACCAGAACTTGGTCCAACTTTTTCAAGCCCATACATCATTTACCAAAAGTGGCGTCTGATAACGACCATGCACACACACACACACTACTTATACCTAATATCCCTGAATGTGATGTTTTCGTCCATATGCAATATAGTATACAATTGCAACACTATAATCATATTCAATATGTTATGAGTACTATATGAACCATTTTACCACATTTCAACATATTTAATGCCAACTATATCATATGCATTTAATTACCACAAATTTTTTTAAAGTCAATACATCACCAAACATATATCAACATTTTACCCAACAATAATTTTCAAGCATGTTATCACATAATCTCATCCAAATAACACACTTAATTCTCCAAGGCATAATATAAACACATAGCATGCCCACATATCACGATTTTTCAAGAAATTAAAATTTAGCAATTTCTAAATACCAATTCATGCTAGAATTGTCTTTACCTATTTTCAATACTCATTTCATTAACTTAATAACAATAGGCAAATGTTATACATCTCTAACAACCTACTTATTCCATATCACAACCCTAGGTTGAAATTCACCTCGTTAGGGAGAAAACTCTACCTCTTGAAGGATAAACGACGTTAGGAAGCTTCAGGAATCCTAAATCACACCTAAACCCTTGATTTTTCCAAACCTCGTTTTTGGAACTTCACCCAAATTCGTGCTTTTTGGTATGGTTGTGTAGCCTTCAACGAGGAAAACAACTTTTGTTCTTAACTTGAGTTGATTTTAGCGATAAAATTCTGTAGATCGTAGAGAGAATAATGAGAGAACTTAGTCTTTCCCTCTCTCCTATTTTTCAAAATTCTGGGTATAGAATGAGGAGAAACCTGATTTTCTCCCCTCTTTATACTCCTTTAATGCTTGGTCCTCATTTCGCCACATGTTCTCCTTTTTTTAGGTCTGATTTCGTCCTGTAACAATTAAATTTCGTTCTAATTCAAGTTCAAAATATTTTTATTTAATCTTTTTTTGAATTATTTTCTAACTTTCAAAATTTTATTTCATATTTTGTTTTTAGATCATGCGACACCTGATCGCCTCGTAAAACACAAAAAATCTGACAGTCTCAAAATTTGACGAAAATTGATAGGATAACTAGATTTTGTAAGATGAATCTAATGGTAAAGTCCGTTTTGTCATCCGAGTTTGAGAAAAATTTAGGTTTTAACACGTATCAAAGTGGCAAATCACTAGGGGTGCAACTTGGGCAGGTTGAGAGTTCAACCCTTGGTACATAATCTTCAACCCTAACTCAACCCAAGTACTACTCAAGTTTAATTAGAGTTACTTAATTCGAGCTAATTTCAGGTTAAAAATTGGGTTGGACTCGAATTACTTAATTTGGGTCGATAAAAGATGAAGGAGTGACGAATGAGAGAGGGAGTCTGAGAGTCTGAGACGAGACTCAGACGAGGGAGAGAGAGAGAGAGAGGCTGAGAGTTTGAGACTAGATGATAGACGAGTGATGAATGAGAGGGAGATCTGAGAGTGATGGAAGCGCAAGGGTGAAGACTAGAAGTGAAGTGAAATTTTGACTCTGAAGAGTAAAGATAAATACTAACCCTAGTAAATATATGTATATTCGGGTTCAACCCGATTTTAATATTCGGGTTGAACCCGACAATCGAAGACCTCAACCCGAGGCTTGCCCGAATATTTTGGGTGGGGATTTTTTTTGCCCAGGCCCAACCCGAATTTAAATTTCAATTGGGGTTGAAGTTTAAATTTATCCGAATTTTACATTCGTACTCATAGTAAGACCAGGGAACGACTGGGTATACAAGAAAGTTAAGAAATTTTTATTTCATTTTATTCGATTCAATTTCAAATATTTAAGTCAAGTTTGGATTTAATTTAGATTTGATCTTCGTGCAATGTTCTGGATAATTGTAAGGAGTTGTCTTGTTGGCAAATTTATTTTGGATCCGGACAAATTTTTATTTATTTTTTTGATTGAGGATATGGTATTACAATGAGGGATTTTTGTATATTTGCCCAAATCGTTCAACAATCATACAATATGATAATTCAGTCCAAAATAGACTTACTAATTGTTGAAACTTTTACTTTCATCAACGATCTAATCAGAAGAATAATCGGTTTAATTGCAAAAATAATGGGCTTAGTTGCACATATGTTAATTTTACAATTGGCTTATATAGATCCTTAATTACTAAATAAATATCTTAATCATTTAAGCATAATCTGAATTGATAATCTTCATGGTGAACAGTGACATATAATTGCTTTGTAATACAAGAACTGCAAATTAATAATAATAATAATAATTTGAGTTTTCATAAATTATTAGTGGATTAAAAAAAAATTAAAATAAGTTTATTTTAATAAAAAAATATTATCAACAATAGTAAAAGCAATATTGGTACTTAAAATTATTCACGTGCAGAACACGTGTGCTTCAACTAATAATAACAAAATACATTTAATACTCATTAAAACTCTAACACCTCTTTTTCTAAATCATATTCTCATCTCTCATATAACTCTTTCCCTCTTTGTATACACCCGCCAACAGACATATTCCAATATCGACTCCTATCAAAAAAAAAAAGAAGATATTTTTAGGTATAATAATTAAATATATAAATTGTATACATATTGATATTTTTTAGAAGTCATGTTTTTAGAGAAGTTTTGTCAATTTTTTTTAGAAAACAGTGTTTTCAAATTGATTTTGAATGTGTAACTACAAAAAATAATAAAAAATAAAGCACTATTTAAAAATATTTATATTGCATGATTGGTGCTCGAAGGTTTTTGAGATACTTAGTGCCTTCAGACATGAGTTATTACTAGTAATATCTATATAATAAACTACAATACAATTCAAATTTTAAAAGATAAATAAAATAACTTTTGTTATTCGTGGTTGAGATCTCTTTAAATTTTACTTTAAAGTTAATCTGATGACTAATATTAACACCTCAAATTTAATAGAAAAAATAGGGCCCTGAGAGTGTTTGCAGTGACTTTTTAAAAATGGTTTTAAGACTTATTTTTCACAAGTACTTTAAAAAAAATAGTGTTTAAAACTATCCCACCACCACCCCCTACGACCACATCTAGCTCCACCCTCATCACCCCACCACCATCGTCGCCGTTGTCACCAACACTATCGTCACCCTACCACACCCACCACTTACCACCTCCACTGCCCCCACCATCACCGCCCCTACCTTCACCACCATCTTCATCGCCCCACTACCACCACTACCACCTCCACCTCCGCCACCCCCACTACTACCACCATTGTTGCCACACCCTAGCTCCATTGTCATCGCACCACTACAACTATTGTCAACACACCACCGCCGCCACCACCCTCGTCGCCACCGTCACTTCCCCACCTTCACCCCCTGCCATTGCTATCCACCACCGATTATTACCATTGCTACCACCCACCGTTATCGTCATCTTATTTTTATATTTATTACCATTACCACTATCATCCTACACCCAACGTCAGTACCCACCACCACTATTGTTACTCACTGTCACCCACCACCACAACTCACCACCACCTATCGTCGTTCACCATCACCAACTATTATCACCCACCCACACCACACCTACCACCACCACCCATCATCGCCCACCACTACAACCACCCACTATTACCATTGTCATCACTTATCATCATCGTCGTTGCCCCACTACCACCACTGTTAACTACCATCACCATCATCCACCACCACCTACACCCACCACCACTACCATTGTGTCCCACAACTGCCATTACCACAATCATCACCCAAAACTCACCACCACCATTACCGTTGCCATTCACGGTTGCCACTACCACCACCACGGTCGTCACCTCCCACCACAACCATCACCGTCTCCCACCATAATCACTATCGCCCTAACCTTTTGAAGGAGAATATGGATGCAAGTGTGGCCTCTAAGAGGCGAAAGCTCAAAAGAGAGCATTTGACATCTGAACCTGGTGAATATTCACCAGTAGCCCCTCCCCCGCCTCCTCTTTCAAGTGGAATCCCACAACCATTTGACGGAAGAGAAAGAGGTGACCGAAAGGGGGCAATGGTCTCACGTCCAGGTTACTTGGAGGAGCCAGTTCTGAGGATGCATGGCAAAGAAGCAGCCAGCAAGATGACCCATCGCGACATTGACCAATATCCTTGACATCGTTTAACGAATGCAATATTAAATGTTTCTATTTGCATTAGTCATTAACTAAAGTTTGTTATTTCACATTCTCTTCCTTAGTTTGTTGCATATCTATTTGCAGAAAATTTATCACTACCTTAATTTATTTCATCTCATTTCTCATTCTTAATTTATTTCATCTCATTTCTCATCACGTCAATTTGGAGGGGTAGTTGGCTTCTGCTGGTTTGTTTCTTTCTTTGTTTCCTTTTCTACTTTGGGGGAAGGAAAAAGAGAAAAAAAGAAGAGGGGAGATGGAGGGAGAGAGAGAGAAAAAAAGGGGGGGGGGGTTGGCTTGAAAAGTAAGCCAGTTTACTGAACTTTCTCCACTGGTCTTCTGAAAGGGCTGTGGCATCTATCAATCGGTAGTAACATTATGATTATAGCTCAGGGGCCTTGAGAGTACTTGAAATGCCTGGCTTTATCATGTTATTTGTGGCATGAGATGTCCATTTTGGCCAGGCTTCCATTTTACTGGTAAATTATGTGCCAAAAATGCCGACTCCTTAACTGCATAATTTATATTGTATGATAGAGGGTGGGAAGACGAAAAGAGACAGAGAGCTGAACCAAAGAGGCGGCACTGGAAATAGTCTCCGATGAGGAAACTTAATATTTTTTTCTTTTCAACTGCAGCATGGATCGCAAAACTTTCCGAGGTTATAACCAGATGCTTGTTCCGTCTTGTTATTGCATTGGATGATTAAATGTGGTCCACTATGGGGTCTTTGCTTTGTGATCTTCCTTGACATGGGTAACTTTGCCCTATCAATTTCGCAATGCTCCATTGATTACGAGTGCATCCTAAAGAGGCAGTCGATGATTGTTTATTGACAATTTTTTTTTTCTGCCCTACGTATAATATTACATGTAAATTATGAGCATGTCTGTGCTCTTCTGTAAGTTTAATTACTTATGAAGTACACTTTTTTGACGAGAAATGTTCGGGGGAAAATATTGAGGTGGTGTTGCTTAATTGGTTAGCTCGTTTGCCCTCTGAGGGGTTGCAGAAAGCCATGTAACCAAAATCACATGCTAAAAGTTATGATTTTGAACAATGCTATATGGACTTAAAAAGTAGACTCGATAATCTTAATCATTGATTTCACTGTGGGTCTCAGTATTTATTGGGACCTACTACTTATTCAATGATTGAGATTTTCAAGTCTAATTTTTAAGTTTAATTTTTAAATCCATATAATATTACTCTATAATTTTTGGAGGGCATGTCTATATATCCATTGTTCTTGCGTATTGATGGAATCGATTAAATGTGAGTTTTCATAATACAATGTAGTATTTATGTGTGGTGGTAAAGGTATCAGTCTATTTATCATAAGGTTGTTTATATTTGGTGCATCTCTCGAATACCCTTGGGATCCACCAGTTGTTACTTTTACAAGGGGTATTCAATATGGCAGGGTTGGGAGATGAATTGAGAAGCATTGTCCCTATGCAGGGTTGAATGTTGAAGTAAAAGGACTAGGCATGCGATTTCCTGCTCATCCCAAGTTTTAATTGCAATGTAAGGATTTCAAGATTGCGTTCAATGGATAAATATGATCTGCGACTCTCTAAAAGAAACCCGATACAACCTTCCCAAGAAGCCTGGTTGGGATAAATTACTTGTAGGATGGTAAAGTGTATAGATATCACTTAACCCATCAAAATATACGAAGATTGTTGGTATTAAAATGATACTAAATTGCGAGACATTTGTCTCCAATCCCACACCAATGAAAGGTCTGTGCAAACAATGCAAAGCTAAAGGAAAACGGAAAGGGTTAAAGTACCTATACAAAGAAAAAAGTCCTCATTAGATAGTGGTAAACAAGAAAAAATTACAAAGTAAATTACTTGGAAGAAAATAAAATCAAGGTTCCCACCTAAGGGATTTTTGAAAGACGTGGTGGTGGGTAGTTTACAATTCTTATTTTCAGTAAACTATTTTCAGATTTAAACTCGTTGGACGACTGTCTGTACTTCTATCTTATTGCTCTAATATGTATAAGGCCACACACACTATTCTATTCTAATACTTATTCCAAAGAATCAAGGAAACTGCCGGCAGAAATTAACCCAATTATGTCTGTTGACTGTTGCTGAGCATCAAAGTCCCCATGGGTAAGTAGGGTTACTAGGGAATGATCCATTGTAATACTGCTGGTAAACGGGTTCAAAGCATAAGGATTATATATCTGAATCTGCCATTGATTCACCTCACCTGTGCCTCCATCTACTGAACAATGACCATATCCATGGCTGTTTCTTGGAGCTATGCATGATGAACTGATTGAAGCTTCTAAAAGGGTCTCCCAACAAACATTATTGTCGGCTTCCAACTGTATCAATGGCTCCATTTCTTCTTCATCTTCCTCCAATTTCTTGAGAGCACCATGTTCTTCGACTTTCGAGAATTGGATCAGTTGTTTTTCATTGTCATCTTCTGTTAAACTCAATGGAGATTGTATTGTTGATGTTAAAGGAGATGTGGTTGAAGAAGATGACTCTGTTAACTGCCACATCCCACTGAGAAAAGTTCCGAGAGCTCGAATCTGAATCTCCGGTATCCGATCGATGAAAGGGTATTCATATGATCCACACAGCCCCATAGATTTGCACCAGTCATAGAATTCTCCAAGTTGATCAGCCTGTAAAGCTGCGTTTTTATAAATTTGAAAAGCTGCTTCACAGTTTCTGTATGGTAACTGAATAAGATTGTCTAAAACGACAACAATCTCTCTCCTAAAAGTTGTGTAACACGTAAAGCTATCACGAATGATGTGTTTCATTGTTGATTGAACGACAAAGTTCCGAGCAGCCGCTCCGATGGGCCGGCAATCCATCACTCTATCAATTAGGCTTTGAAGCTGTGGTAAGACCTCAATCATGCGACCCAGTTCTTTCATTTTGTCAGGTAAGCTCTCAAGCTCTTCTTCTTCTTCAATTTCTGCACTTTCAATTGACAAACAGTCGAGAGCTTCGTCGAGTAACCGAGCATATGATCTTATAAACATGGTGTAATCTTTGCCGGCTGAGGATGAACAGTCCCGGAATTGACATGGATAGAGAGATAGCATTCCGTTTGATCGAGCCCATATGAGTTCGATCCTAAACGGGCTGTTTTCCGGCAATGATCGGATCAATCGGTGGAGGAGGAGTAGACATTTCAGTGCAACTCGCCAGCACTGTGTCTTGCTAAACCGGCGGGTGAAGCTTAAGACAAAGGCCCGGAATGAACAAGGAGAAATGGAGAAGATTTTCAAGAGCTCATGAACGTAGCGGTCCGGCAAGGGTAAGTCGTCCGGCGATGTAGCTTTCACGATCACAAGATCAAGGTCGCAGAACCCTCCAACGGTGGCAATCTTTGCACAGCTAACGCTTGTGTGCTCTTTTACTGATGTGAAGATTTGCCTGAATCTCCTTTGCATTGTGACAACAAGAGAGAGAACTATGCTTAAAGATGGCCTAGAGAGAGAGAAAAAACTGCCGTCCCTTAGCAGTTTTTCATCCAAAACTGTGTGTGAGAGAGAGAGGGAGAGAGCTTTGTGTAAGAGGGAGGATTTGAGGAGGGGTTTTGTATTTTTAAGCTATGAAAACATAAATAATATCGGAATGAGTTGGAGGGAGGTGGCATATAATTTGTCCATGATACCAATCTTAGCATTTGGAGTATTAGTTGGAACGACGGCTACAAGAAAAGCTTGTCGGAATAGCTGGAGAATTAAAGAATCCATTCTTCTACTTGATATGTGCCATTTGGTTGAGAGTATCCATATATTGTAATATGCATGTGGCTAAGCCAGTTTTACAATTTCATACCAAAAAATTAGATCCAATCAAATCAAGTTATTACTTAACTATGGCAAGTTACGATTCCAACTTTCTAGGATTGATTATAAATTTTTGAGTTTCAGAAAGTTATAACATTGAACTTGTTAATCTCATTCGATCATAACTTGTGTGATGCTTACATCGTATATTTGTCATGTGACAGCAAAATGAGTAATTTTGGAGCAGGATAGGGAAAGGACAAATGTTCTAGATGTCATTTTGAATCAACATGTAATTGTAGGGTAATACCACAAAGACATATACACTAATTATAATTTTTTTTGGATTAAGTTATAACTCAATACAATCAATTTATTACAAAAAAATTAGAATTGATCCCAAACATCCCCATTTTGCAATAACCTCACCGTGAGAAGTTTTAAATATCAGCCGTATTTAGTAGTAATTTTTGATACAGTACCAACAATTAACTCTTTGATATCATAGTCTTAATCATATTTGTTTATTAAAGGTGACTAATTTGGTGGGGTGTGGATATACTTATCTAGGTTTTTACGTGCTCTGATATCAGCCTGTCCATTGTTCATGTTGTTAAGCGCTCAGTTAGAGATGGCCAAGAAACTCTTGTCACTTAATGGAATGCCAGGTACTGGTATATCAAGGTGCAGAGACTTGTTTGTTTCCTGCAAATGGACTACAGTGTTGGATTAGTCTACCTTTAAGACTAAATATCTCTATAAACTTCTCTTCATGGCCAGAAAGTTGATAAACTAGCTTCCAAGTTCATAAAATATCTCTTTAGCATCGACGACATGTGAAAGCTAGCAAAAAAATTCTATCCCCAAGACTTCAATAAAAGGAAGAAAGTATTTTTGAAAACACAATCTTATATCTTTGAACATGACATACTTATATCTCCCGAAGGTTTCCAGGATTTCTAGTTTATATGTGTTGGGATTTAACACGATTTAAATCCACTAACAAACACACACAATCGAAGAACAAATCAAGAATATAAAGCAATAAGAAACAAGAAAGAACGAGACACAGATTTTACGTGGTTCGGTAATTTGCCTACGTCCACGAAGCTGCAGGGATTTCACTATTGAGAGAGTTGAATACAGAGAGCGGCTGTACAATCCACAACAAACCCTAATCACAAAAACAACAGGGTTTATATGTCCTACGCACTGGGCTGTATAATGGCCCCAAAAATTTTCCTCGGGGGCGTTGCCCCCAAACCTCCACGAGACTTGTCCATGAGCGCTAGGCCCAAGCCTTCGCTCCATGAACTAAGCCTCCGAAAATTTTTCATTAAAAATCACACAATATTATTTCGGATCGAGTCATCATCCGGATCACATATACAAACTAGACTCCATAAAAAAAAATCAACAATATGGTGATTAGCTACGACTAATTCACAATCTATCTATTTCTACGCTTACAATTTTTATTGCAACTGGACCTAAAATTTAGTGAATTATTATATGAGCCACAGAGAAAATGGGGCAAATAATAAGGGTTAAAAGATCTGCGGCCGTCCTGATAGTCTTGCAAACAAAGACTTAGACTTTCTCTTAGGCCATCGGGTCTTGACTTGTTGGTGATCAAACCATGTGTCTTACAATTGAATGATGTCCTCTCCAACTTTAAATTATTTCCTACCATCCAATCATCTGTGTGTTTCCTGGGGATTTAACTAAATATTTTATGTCCTACTAGCAGTGACTAATTACTTTGAGAGGAGAGGGTGATGATAATCTCACAATCCAATGAAAACATAAATCATAATGACAAAAATCATTGTAAAATTAGTATCGTCACCCATCACAACTATCACTGTCTCTCATCACTAGCACTACCACAGTTCACCTCCATTATAATTGGTGTTTAAATTTTTTTTCTTTGCTTTATGTTTATAATTTGATTTTGAGTGTGAATATAAATATATTTATTGTTGATGATTTTTATTATTATTTTGTGCCTTCAGGCAGGCATAGACAATAACTAATTTTTAATAGAATAACTCATTTAAATTTTAACTATTTAATCGTAGTAACTTAACTTTTAATAAAATTTCGTTAAAATTTTATTTTTAACGAAAATAACTCGTCACATACGTGAAAAAAAAAAACGTACTTTACCCGAGATACACCAGTACTTAAATATGTGGTGGCCGGCTGGACACGACCCGACTTTAGACTTTGTTTTGAGATTTGTGGAATGGCGTGGAGGTGCCTTGTTGACTTGGAAATTTCTAATCAGCTTCAATTGATCTTCCAAGTCAATTATATAAACGGCCAAGATTTTCTTTGTTTCTTGGCAAAAGTTTCCCCACACGACTTGCCCACTTACTTCGCAGCACTGATTGGATAAAAGCAAGTTTTGCCCGTACATTACATGGATGTTAGCCTTCTGCTTTAAATCATTTCATTTCTGTTTTTTAAATAACAGAGATTTGTAATCACTTGTATATAATTGTAAGTATAAATATCACATATACACAATTATTCACTAATTATACACATAGATTAAACCCGATTAATAAAATTCAAACTTAGAATGTATTGTTTTATATGTTTCAAATCCCTAATTCAATCACTAAATAGAAGGATGTGCCGATTTATTTACATAACCATTCAATTTGAAATTTACCTTTGTTCAAACAAATTGGCATGGATTTTCCTGTTGAGTTGTCTTTTCAAGTAGTTGCCTTAATATAATAGCTATTGCCATTTGCCTACAGTCTGGTCCCATTCTATGATTTTTTTTATCATGTATTATTAGAGTAGAGAAGAGAGGAATGATAAAGTTTTATGCTAACCACTAACCTCCTCCATTCATGACAGGCATATTCATTGTTCAAAATCAATTATCATATAATATATATTTGAGTCATAATCTAACTTAATCAAATCATATTTCCTTCCATTTGTTTCATATGACTCGTGCATCTTTGACTTTTCCTTGGCGTGAAGAATAGTTTGGCAGAGACTCACTTGCAATTTGCCCCTTACTCTTTGCCAACACCCCCCTGTGATCGCACCCGCAAAAGTTATGGTCTGTTTGGTAAAAATGATGGAAAATAGATTACAAAGAATTTTCATCCTTACATAGAAGAAATATATTTTTTCTTATTTATATTTGATATGATGGATGAAAAATTAAAAGAATGCATTTTCTTTTGTTTGGTATTGAATGAAAAATTAAATAGAAAGGAAAAATATATATACCAAATTTACCATTATACCCTCGTATCTAAAGGGTATATTTTCCTATTGTAATTATCATAGAAGGTTTGGTCAAAGGGTTGAATTGCAAAACACATGAACCAAAATACATTAATAAGATTAAAGAAAAAAAAACCAAAATGCATGCTTTTTTTTTTTAAAGCAAATTTTATTGATAAACTCATTTCATCCTTAATAGTATACAACCCTCCATTCCAATATCTTTCTTCCGTCAGGCATGCGAAGATCTACCAAAATTATATAATTTTGATGTTGAGGGCCTCAAATTTGGGTTAAGAGTTACCAAAATTTCACATTTTTATTTAGCAACTATGCAAATTATTTTTTTTGTCTATATTTAAATATTGTGTGAAAAATTAATCATTAAAAATTATTAATAATTTAGATATTATTTGTTTGAGAATCACATAAAAATATATTTAATAGAGACTAAACTAATACAATTAAAATATTGGTGATCAAAATAAAACAAACTCTATATTTTGGGAACCTCCGACTACAATTAATCCTAATTTTTAATTTGTCAATTCGCAATAAAAATTTTCAAATTACAATTAGGTATCACATTTGGGTCATGAGTAGATAAACAGAACCCGCCCCATCTGTCTAAAATCTCTAGACTCTTCTACCCCCTTTCTCTCTGTCTCTCCACTCTTCAATCTCGTAAGGCCATGGCCCTGCAAGTTTGGGAGACTTTCTCAAAGAATCAATCACAGCATACACATGTCTCTCTCCAGCGACCTTCTTTATGTTTGGGTCCTCCAATCAAGGTCATCATCAGAGGTCTAGGGACGTCGAGGAGCACACGCAGCCTTTGCCTCCTCCTGTATAGCTTGGAGAGATCACTCTGGAGGAGTTGAAGCAGTACGATGGGTCTGATTCTAAGAAGCCTTTGCTCATGGCAATCAAGGGTCAGATCTATGATGTGTCCCAGAGCAGGTATTTCATTGGATATTTGGTGTTATTTCGATGTTTTAGCTTCTGGTGTGGGATTTTTTGGTGAATTGTGGTATTTTTAGCTTCAGGTTTTCCCCGTGAAGTCTTGTGTGCGTGGGGAATGGATTTTGTTTGAAAAGAAAGGGTAAAATAGTCAATTCACAAAAAAATCTTCCCTCCAACTTTCAGTCCATTTTGCGCTCATTTTTGGGGAAAATGTTTGGTGGACGCCAGCCAGGGAAGGAATTTCCCTGTCATTTTCCATTCCAAGTGGAGTCTTCCCTTCCACTTTCCTTCCTCCATTTTCCATCTTCCTATTTTCGCTCCACCCAAACAGGGTTAACCTGATGGAGAGGGAAGCAAACTGGGGGGTATCTTCCACTGGTCAATGGTCAGCGTCAGCGCAAAACCAGTCAATCAAAGCCGCCCTTAATAACCCCATACCAAACCCGACCTCCTCCAATGTCACGCCCCACCACCACCAATCATGTCTCTCTCTCCCTATCCTCTCTCCCTCCTCTTCTTCACCCTCCTCTGTTCAGTCCCTCAGCCATCATCCGCCCAACAACCACCACCAAATAATATCTCATCCTTCTCCTCCTCGGACCTCCCATGGCGTCCCGACCAGAACCAAATCCTCCTCTCTCCCAATTCCACATTCGCCGCCGGGTTTCAACCCGTACCCACCTCTCCAAACATGTATACCTTCTCCGTTTGGTTCCACAACATCTCTCAAACTGCCATAGTCTGGTCCGCCAACGATAATTCTCATGTCAACCGCTCCGCCACCGTCTTCATCACGCGCTCCGGCGAGCTCCGTTTAGGGTATTCCTCCGGCGAAAACTTATGGCCTTCAAAGCCCACCGGAAACACAAATAGCAGCAGACTCATTCTTCATGATAATGGTAACCTAGTGTTTGGCAACTGGAAAAGCTTTTCTCATCCAACAAATACTATTCTTCCCAATCAACAGATCAATGGAACAACATTGTCTTCAAAGAATGGGAAGTTCAGATTTGTTGACTCAAAACAACTTGTTTTTGATGCAAATGAGAGTTACTATTCTACTGATGATTCTTTTGTGCTCCTGGATTATAATGGAAAAGTCTCACAAGAAAACGGAGCTTCATTCATTTCAGCAGATTTCGGAGCTACCCGGTTGAGAAAATTGACCCTTGATGAGGATGGGAATCTCAGAATCTACAGTTTTGATCCCAAATTGGGTCAATGGATTGTTGGTTGGCAAGCAGTTTCTGAACTCTGTACAATACTTGGTACGTGCGGCCCTAACTATATATGCATGTATGATGGTTCAAACTCTACTTTTTGCATATGCCCACCGGGCTTCCGGCGAGTTTCCGCCGGCGGCAAAGAATCATGCCAACGGAAAACTCCGATGACCGACCTAAGAAACAGCAAGTTTTTGCGTTTTGACTATGTGAATTTTTCCGGTGGGTCAAACGGAACAGATATTAATGCCCAGAATTTTTCTACTTGTGAAGCCTCATGCTTGAATGACCCGAAATGTCTCGGGTTTGGGTTCAAGTATGATGGTAGTCGTTATTGTGTACTTCAATTGGAGAGGCTGCGATTTGGGTATTGGTCTCCGGGTAATGAAATCGCCACTTTTGTTCGGGTGGACAGATCCGAACCCGATGAATCGAACTTTACGGGTATGTTAAATTTGCTGGAGACGACTTGTCCGGTTCGGGTCAGCCTTCCCTACCCACCAAAAGAGTCCAGCACCACAACCAGGAATATTGTGCTAATTTGTACTCTCTTTGCTGCCGAGCTCTTTAGTGGAGTTTTTTTCTTTTGGGCATTTTTGAAGAAGTACATAAAGTATAGAGACATGGCTCAGACCTTTGGGCTTGAATTTATGCCTGCGGGTGGGCCAAAACGGTTCAGGTATGCGGAGCTTAAAGCTGCTACCAATGATTTCTCTCGCAATAACATTATTGGGAAAGGTGGGTTTGGTGATGTTTATAAAGGAGAATTGAATGATCACCGGGTTGTAGCAGTGAAGTGCTTGAGAAATATTACTGGTGGTGATGCTGAATTTTGGGCTGAGGTCACAATTATTGCCCAAAAGCACCATCTCAATTTGGTAAGGCTATGGGGTTTTTGTGCTGAAAAGGGTCAAAGAATGTTAGTCTATGAGTATGTGCCTAATGGTTCACTAGACAAGTTCCTATTTCAAGGGTAGGATCTTCAGAGACCCAAGAAGGAGCGAGTTCGGATTCGGAGCAAAAACCGACACTTGATTGGAACATTCGGTACCGGATTGCACTAGGAGTAGCAAGAGCAATTGCTTATTTACATGAAGAGTGTCTGGAGTGGGTGCTGCATTGTGACATCAAGCCAGAGAACATACTTCTGGGGGAAGATTTTTGCCCCAAGATATCTGACTTTGGGTTGGCCAAATTGAAGAAGAAAGAGGACATAGTGAGCATGTCAAGGATTAGGGGGACCCGTGGGTACATGGCACCCGAATGGGTAAAAATGGATCCAATCACATCGAAAGCTGATGTGTTCAGTTTTGGGATGGTGTTGTTGGAAATTGTTAGTGGGGTAAGGAATTTTGAGATACAAGGATCAGAAATAGATAGTGAGGATTGGTACTTACCTAGGTGGGCATTTAATAAGGTGTTCAAGGAGATGAAGGTGGAGGACATTTTGGATGGTCGGATAAAGCAAAGTTATGATAGTCGGGCTCACTTCGAAATGGTTAATCGGATGGTGAAGACGGCTATGTGGTGCCTTCAAGACCGACCGGAGATGAGGCCGTCGATGGGGAAGGTGGCTAAGATGCTAGAAGGGAAGGTGGAGATAGAAGAACCAAAAAAACCCACAATTTTCTTCTTATCAGATGATTAAATAATAGTCTACTAGTTTCTAAAGAGTAATAATTTCCAATGTATCTAATGTATTTAATGTATCTGTAATTAGAGTTGGTTAAATTTGATGCAGCATATGAATGGACCCAATAATATAATTTGGGGAACTCTATTTTTCAGTGTGATTGCAAATATTCCAAATTTTCTGTTACAGCATTCCGAAGGTAGAGTGTTTGGTGTGGTGATTGAAAAAGAGTTTTAAAACATTTTCATCTTTAGTTGAACATGTTTTTTCCTTCAAAAGTTGTACCAATGGTGTCATGTTATATTGTTATAATTGAATGGAGTTGGACAGTTACAGTTAGGGTTAGAATCATCAATTAACATTCTCGGTAGAACCGGAGTGTCATAAAAGTTATATCAGAGCATACTTTTTTCTAAACTAGCATTGATAGAAATCGATTAGGTCTATCGAGTATATTAGAACTCTGAATACTTTTAATTGAATCAAACAGTCATAATTTGGTATTAGAGTCGACAATTACATCTCTGTGAGAGGTGGAGTGTTACAGTTACAGTGCGCATTCAAAAGCGTAACATAAAGTGACAGTGTTAGTAAAAGTTAAATAAAAACCGGACTTTGAATTAAGCATGACCAGTGTCGTTTGGTCCAGATCAGGTCAACGACCAATTTCAAGACGTATCAGTTTGCCATGAGCTCTTTTAGTTTTGGGCCAAATTTTATCAGTTAGACCCTCAAATTTTTTATTATTTTGGGCAAGATTTAAAAAGTAATAATATATCGTAGAAAATTCTGATTTCAGTATCATAATTTCTATTAGGGTGGAGCTAATCCCACCACAAATATCCATTCCCACCCCATTTAATTCTTATTATCAAACTACTTAGTTCACTCCTATACTCAATCCATTAATAACTAAGCACACTTCATGCTATAAACACTCTTTTAATAAGTAAGTCCACTTTATATCTTCTCAAAATTAAGATTTCATTCATTATCTCATCTCACACACTCATAAAAATATTTTTTTCAATATAGATTTCTCTAATGAGAAACAATTTAATATTGCTTCTCGATTTAATTCTATGTTTGATTTTATGTGTGTTGTGTGAATTTTTATTATTGTTATTGTATTTTGGTAACTTTGTCAAGTTTAATAATTTGATTTAGGGTTTGTGTGAGTGTGTGTGTTTTTACATTCGAATTGTTTTAAAAATGGCAATGAAGGCTATTTACAATAGCAAATTCGTTTCGTTTGGCAAGCTTGTGTCATTTGTGAACTAGTGTTTGTGAATTAGAAGGCTTGTTTTGTATTTTATTTTTCCGATGAAAGATTTTGTTCTTTTGTTTTCTTGATTTTGTTTTTCTTGTTTTCTTTTTTTGATAAATTTTTATTTCTTGTTTTTATAAATTTCTTATTAAACGGGTGTCTATAGCATAAGGTGGACTTAGTTACTAATAGAGTGGATATACAAGGGTAGGCATAGTAGTTTATTAATAAGAAATTAAATGGGACAAAAATAAATATTTTTGGGGTGGGAATAGTCTACGTCACATGATTTTATGTTAGTTAGATTCCAATTTTTTAATTTTGATATATTTGGTATTATTAAGAATTTTGCTTCCATTTTTAAAATGATTAGACTTTTAACATTCTTATTATGTCCTATAAACTATTCAATCAATAATGCATATCTTTATAGTTATTCTCAATTTTTTATGTGGATTCAGAATGTGTGCATATTACTCATATAAAAAAAAGGGTAATTTCTTTGTCCCCTTGTTAACTGTTGTGTCATTTTTTTCATTTTAGATGAGTATTTTGAGCAATAGCCTATAGAAAATTTTTGTGTACTTAATTTAGTGACATTATCTGATGACTTGATGAATTTTGCCCATTGAATTGATGATATGCCTTAACTAATAGTGGGGATCACTGTCATTAGATATGATGGAGAATGATAAGCCAATACTAGCTTATAATTTGGGAAACAGCCGTGAGATATTAACTAGAATAATGCATAGAGAGAGAGTGAGAGAGCTTAACCACAGAACTAAAAGAAAAAAGTTAGTTACTAGAACATCCAATTAACAAGATTCATATACAAATGCAATGCAGTCTCTCCAACACTTTTCTCTTGATTGACTTAATCTCAAGTATCATATCTCTCAACTTTTGGGAATGACCAAAGACATCATGGAATGGTGTAGTGACTTCTTCATCATCATACATATAGCTAACGACTGTAAACAAATCGAGGATAACCAATGCCTTGGAAGCTGCATCTCCAATAGATGTCACTAAGATCTTCAATTCCTTATCCTCATTGTATTTCTCCTTGTAATCCCTGAGGAAATCTATTATGAATTGAAGATCCTCATAAAGAAATTTAATAGGAATCATCTCTTCAAGATTCAAATCAGTGCCAATTCTTAATATCTAACCCAGGTCCTCCAATAGACAATCTATGAGAGTTTCTTCCATTTTTCTCTTAACAACTTCAAACTACTAAGTATAGATTGGTTTGTGGTTTTCAGCTCGTGGGTGTTGGGTATCAAATGTGTGAGAATATTTACTGGATATCAAATATTTGTAGGACTCTGATCGCATTGAATACTAAAAAAAGTGGAAGCTTCTAACATACTATGAACGAGCTCATTGTCTATAGGTTTAAACTTTTAGGTGGATATGGATTCTAAACATGTATACTTGGGCTTGTATTACCTGTCTCTTGACAAGATTGAATTGGTAGCGTAGCAGAGATGAAGAACTTGAGTTTTCATTCACCTTGCTAGCAAGTTTATCTTTGTCTGGCAACAGTGGCAGTATGGAAGATAGAGAGAGAGAGAGAGAAAGATTAACTTGGGTTAGAAAGTGTACCATAAAACAAGATTGTTTTGTCAAATAAAGAGATTTCCAAAATGAAAAACCATATTTGAATTTTAGAAAAAGGTTGAACAGAAACACATTGCTTATAAATGGGAAGGCCGGCCCCAAAAGTTTTAAAATCTTATATTTGGATAATTTTTTATGAAAAAATATGAAACTCATTGAATCACTGGAATTGACATCATAGATATGTTCTACAAAGTTGGCTTGTCCTATTCTATTGTGCCTGGATTTTAGTTTTTGTCTAGGAAATTGAAGGCGGGCATGTCAAGAAATTCTTGGGGTGAATATTACAAGGATGGTTAATGTTAGGTTAGGTTGAAAGTTAAACTCATCAAATCATTGGAATTGACATCAAAGCTATGTTCTACAAAGTGGAGTTGTCTCATTCCAGTGTGCCTGAACTTTCGTTTTTTGTCCAAGAAACTAAAGGCGAGCATGTCAAGAAAGTCTCGGGATGAATATTACAAGGATGGTTAAAGCTAGGGTAGGTTAAGGAAGTTAATTCCTAACAAGATGGATTTGTTCCCCATCATGATATAACTAAACCCAAAGCTGGAAAGAAACCTTAGTATGGTAATCAAGCTAGCACAATTAAAAAAAAAACTAGCACAAGAAAATACACACTACAAGAATTTAGGGTTTTTGCATCACTTTTTTTTTGTAACGGAATATTTATAATGGCAAAAATATTTTTTTTGCAACCGTTCTTGATATTGATGTTTAAAATGATATATTTGCAATAAGAATTTGTTGTCGTGGCAAAAAGTAAAAAATTTTTTAAAAAAATTTCTCTTTTTGCATTGGTTTTTTTCCTGTTGTAAATGCTTAAACCAAATCGACATTTTATTAGTTCTAATTACCAAAATGACGTTGTTTAATATGACTGATTATTAAAAACAGTAAATTAAATCAACACTCCCTAAACTTTGTCACCAAAACACATTACATTGACATCCTTCAAAGTTTGTACGCGTGTAACATATAGATCTCTACCATTAAAAATCGTTTGAAACAATGTCAAATTTTGATATGTTATCATATTTTAAGAATTTAATTTCCAAAATACCCTTATAAAAATAATTAAAACCAACTCACTTAATTTTGTTAGTCGTCGACTGTTACTAAGAGGGAGTGTCAATGTAATATGTTATACTTAAGAGGATTCATGTGTTTTAGCGACAAAGTTTAGGGGGGTGTAGATGTAATTTATCCTATTACCTTTTTTTGCATCTGATTATCAGTCGCATGCCTCCTCTCTTCGCACGTGTCACGCCCCCACCTCGGATCACATAAGATGTGCGGTGGACTAGCCACCAAGGCCTTAATCAACCAATCTTGTGCATAAGAAATGTAAAATACAGCGGAAGACAAATAATAAAGTCATCCAATCCATCTATAAAATCCGGGAAAAATTTAAACTTTTTCGGAAAAATGACAAAATAGTAATTTATCACTATAGTTCGGGTTTAAAATTCATATTTTTCTAGAGCTCGGACGATGAAACGGACTTCACCGTTGGATTCATCTTGCAAAATCTAGTTACTCAGATAAATTTCGTTGAATTTCGAGATAGTTGAGTTTTTCACGTTTTTCGAGGCAACGGGTCCGGTAACCCCCACAAACAAAATTTTTATAAAAATTTTGAAATTTGAAAAATATTTTAAATAAAGTTTATATATAATATTTTGAGCTTAAACCGGTACGAAATTTAATCGTTTTGAGGCGAAAATGGACCCAAAAATAGGAGTCGTGTGGCGCATTGTGAGCCAAGGGTTTTGGGACTCTAAATAGGTGGAAAAATCTGATTTCCCCACTGATTTTCTTTGCTAGTCTGAACGTTGGGCTGAGAGGGAGCAAAAGAGAAGAAAACAAAGATCTTCAAGCTTTCTCTTGACGATTTTTGAAGTTCCATCGGTCGGAATCTTTCGGACCAAGAGTTAAAGTCAATCTCCTCGACAAAGGCTACGCAACCACACCAAAAATGAAGGATTTCACCGAAAATTCAAAGATGAGATTTTGGAAAATCAAGACTTAGAGATTGGTGTTGGTGTTCTTGAAGGTTCTATCCTTCGTTTTACGCTGCAAAAGGTGGGGTTTCTCTTACTTTGGTTCATTCCATTCTATG